GCTTATGCAAAAGTGCATTGGATGAAATGAATACAATGGATATGCTTGAATGCAAGGTAGTCAACATCATCCAAGAACATATATTCTAAGCACATGTCATCTACTGCATTCTCTTCTACTACTAATATGCGAAGTCAACACATCTTATTAAAATGCTCCAAAGATACACCAAAGCTTCACTAATTTCTTAATCACACATAAAGCAACACTTGATTAAACCCTAATTAATAAGAGGTTTGAATAGTAACATCTATTTTTATTGCTTAGAAAAATCTTAGAAAATTACCATAGCACAGTACTACCCTAAGTAGTCTACCATCAGATTTTCATGGTATTTGAATGAGTGGATTAGCCTACACAAAAATAACAAGCTATGGCATGATTATGAACATGGAAATACTTTGTACTGTGAAAATGTCAAACAACAGAGGAAATATTTTTCCTATGTTCTACACAGCAAATAATCACTGTACAAAAATCATCACATGCATGTTTTATACAAATTTTGCTCTCTAGCAAAATTAACAAAAATCAGCCATCAAAGGCACTTGAACTACACCTCATAAGTTTTCTACAGTACATGCATGACACATATTTTTCCTAGGAATTACATTACATAAGAAGATTAACAAACTTGGAAATCATATTTTTCTGAAGCCTATAGGTTTTTCTACACATTTTTCAAGTTATTAGCAATATCAAGGATTAAATAAAGCTCTATAGAAAAGTATCTTAAAAATGACATGCAATATTTTTCTCATGTAGATCTGGTGACAAGGAACCTAGAAAAATTTGTTTCAACAGATTTGGAGCAAATTTGAGTATACAAACATTTTCCAAATCATTTCTCTTTCCAAATAATAAAAGAAAATTGAAAACGAAATCTTCCTACTCCTACTGGGCCGGCCCGTGGGAACTATCTGGCCCACGGCCACACTTGGCCCGCTCAGACCGAGCGAAGGGGAGAGGCGACCTGGCTCGAGGCTTCGGCCCATGGCCACTTGGCCCAGCTCGGCCGAGGCAAAGGGGCCATGCCGGCGCGAAACGCCATAGTGGCGCGGCTCTACCAGCGGGCCAGCGGTCATTGCTGGCCGGGTCAGGGCAAGCGGGCGAGCGCACGGGGTTCACAAGGAGGTGGCGGATGCGAGTTGGCAACTAGGAAGGGTGGAGGAGGGGAAGAAGGATGCATTCCACGGCGGCCGAGGAAGGCGCCATGGCTGACGGCGGCGAAGCGCGAAGAAGGCTCTACCTTGGCTCAAAGGCGTCACAACCGCGAGCACCAGGTGCTGGAGAGTGAGGCGGAGCTGGGTACGCTTGATTGCTGGCCGTGGTGGAGCACCGGCGGCGAATTCGACCGGCGGGGCTGCGGTGGCGCTCGATGGCGAGAGAGCAGAGCGCGTGCGGGCGGAGCAGCGAGGCAGTGCGGGAGAATAGAGTGGCGAGCACAGCGGCTTCGGCAGATGAAGGCGGGCGCGTGGGAGCGGACGCAGGCCGTGGCTGCCGCGCGGCGAGCGTCAACGATGCATGGCCGCCATGCGGCGGTCGCGCCCTGGCGTGGTCGGGACGCGACGCGCGGGAACGGGCGCGGCGCAGCACTGGGCAGGCCGGACGCGGGGCGCGCGGGAGGCGGGCGCTGCTGCAGGCCGGGCCGGCTTCGGCCGTGGGCCGAGAAGGGAGGCGGCGGCCCGCGAAAGGAGAAATCATTTTTCTCAATTTCCATTTTTAAGAAATTTTTAAATACCAGTTTTCAAATATCATTTTGAGCAAGAAAATGACATCTTTTGAAAATGTCCCAAAAATGAAAGTTGCTTAGAATTTAATTCTCTACAATTTTGCTTTTATGACCAAAGTCCAATTCTTGATAGATTTTGAATTATAAAATTAAAGTCAATTTTAACTCAAAACCCTAATTTTTTGGAGAATTATTTTTAAAGCAAAATTTGGCAATAATTTGAATACAAACTTTGCTCCAAAAATTGTGCTAAATAATTCAAGATGATTTACAATGATAGCCAAACATGTTTTACTAACCTAGCAAGCATAATCATGGCAAAAACAACTCTAAACAAGTGTATGCAACATTCATGTTTCACGAGCATGTTTCGTATGTTTCAAAGCAGGGTTTCAGTTATTATTTACATGATTAGGCGTGTATGATTAGGATGCTTGATGATGCATAATATGTATGATTTGTAGTGCCTAAATGCTGGTCATAACACCGGGGTGTTACAAAGATGATGTACACCCACATATACATGCTGCTCCTACACTAGGAGTACACAAAAACATGCCTCCATACACCAAAAATTCTACTCCTACACTGGGAGTAGACAAAAAAATAATATATATGTGTTAGGGAAATACTCCATGTTCTAAAAAGATAATGATCTCTCTCTAAATATGTGGTTTAGAGGAAGAGACATGGGCTATGCAAGAAGTTTATGATAAAGAAAAAAAATTGGACACATGAAGGTCCAAGTACAAAAAAAGGGGTGAGCACATGAAGGCTCATGTATTGAAAAAAAAAGAAGGAAGAAAGATAGCCATGTTTCAAAATAATATAAAGAGAGATCATATCTACAAAAGGAGTATAGTTTCAGTTTACCTTTTTCCACACACATGCACATCTTGATCTAAGAGTATGACACTTCTCTCCTTGGATCCTCGATTTGACTTTACAACAGATGCAATACAAGTATGCTATATTGTTTATCCCTACCTAAAGCTCCACATAAACCTTTTTTAGAAGTAGGAGAAGGCAAAACATTGCTATGCCTTAGTAAGGATTTATACACCATTGAGTGATTTGAGAGTGCCATTTGAGGAGTATAAAGTGAACTATGCTTTTTCTTGAGAAAAAAACTTCCAAAAACTCCAAGTTGCTGAGATGTGAAATTGGGAAGATGACTTTGTTTCAAGAATTGTTCCACTTTTCAACAACCTAGGGAAACATGTTAGCTAACACCACATATCCCACTTCTGAAATGAATGTGTTGGAATAACTCTTATGTGAGCCATATATCTTAGGATGCTATGCTCATGATTACCATTAACACTAAGCTTCGCTCGAGGATGAGCAAAGGGGTAAGTGTGGGGGAGCTTGTTGGCGGTCCTTAATTACCAAATCCGACTGTCAATTAAGACATAAAAGGGGAGAAATTAACAAACTTACACACATATGCATTTACCACTGACCTAGTTCCACATGTATTTGGAAGATTATTGTTTTTGCAGGACATACACACAAATACATGGGAGAATACACCAAAAGGCGCTTTCCAATGCTGAATTGAGCAAAGAATCAAGGGAGACACCCATCAAGTTAGTGCAAACTGGGCAAAACACCATGGAGCAGGGATCCATGTCTAGCCCATGGCGCTACCGACGCTGCTCAGTCACGCCTCGCTCTGGTGGTGGCATGCTCCCATGCTGAGGCGGTGCATCCCATGCTTTCATGCCAAAGATAGATAGAAGCATTGCCTTGCTCTTGTATAAATAGAGGGGTACCCCTCCCTCTCTCAACACTACAAGAAAAGAGCTTCTCCACTTTTGAGCATCACTCCAAGGGCTTAGGCCCTAGATAGCTAGTAGAGTAGTAAGGGAGAGATGTGAAGGAGAGCTTGGGGAAGCACCGGACTTGTCGGTGTCTCCCCAACTTGTACCTCGACGAGCATCTTTACTTCAACGGGTTCTCCCACTAAGTGAGTGTTCGTGGTTCTTTTGGTTATAAAGTCTTTGATCAGTTAAGCTATACTCTTACTTGTTTGCGGGTTCATCGTCCGTCCCCATGGCGGATGCTCTAGTAGAAGGGCCTTGATAGAGACGGATAACCCTTGCATGCACGCTAGAGTAATAGTCGATAGCGTAGACATGGTGTCTAGACTAGAAGCTATCTTTGTTTACCTTGTTCCCCACTGTCCATCCCTCGTATTCCCCTATGTCCGGGGTAAACATTGGCTACAGGCTGGCCTCGCTTGGCAGACCAGGTGTGATCTGGTGCACGAAGTAAACAAGTAGAAGTAAAGTTTATATATCTTTAGACCCAATTACCATATAAATCCTTCTCTACCCTTTCCATCTCAACCCTTGTGTTATCCTTGGACGAATTAGCTAGAAGAGTACCTCTGTTCCCTGTGGAAAATATGATACCCTCACTAAAAAAATGGTTTGTATGACATAAGCACACTGTCATGGTAAGTACAAAATTGGTCATAAAAAGTGTCTTATGACAAAAAAGCAGCGTCATGCCAGTCGTCATATAATGACCGTCACATAATGTACCTTATGATGATAATATTGAGAACCATCACAAAATGTTACGACCTTTTGTGATGGTTGTGTCTTTCCATCACATATTGTTATATTTTATGACGACTGTAACTGTCACATATTGGTCAGCCAACACGTCACCTAATGTACGAAACGTCATAAATGGTACGTGCGAGGACAGTCTCAGATAAGTTTTTTTGACGACACAGAAACGTCATATATAAGTATGTGGATTTTGTGACGCCTAGATTTTGTCTTGTTTTGTATGGTAGTTAGAGACATTTTGAGACGACTGTATGGCATCACAAATTGTCCTCTCATTCATGACGAGCATGGCAGCCATATTCAGTGACGACACACTGATCTTTCATCACAGCTCATAAAAGCATAATACACATATATATCAGCCAAGCCATCATCCACAACATTCTCATCATAAGTCATAAATCATACACAATTCAGTCAAGCCATCATGCATACACATAAATTCAAGACCAAAAGACAATGGTTCAACATGTTCCAGCACACTTGTTCCACCACATAGTTCCAGGTTCCATCAGGCATGTTCCACCACAAGAGGTTCAAACATACAGAGGTTCCACCAGAAAGGTTCAAACATACAAACAGATTGCACATAGTTCTGACAAAGTTCCAACCACAGAGTAAGTTCTAGCAAGGTAGCAAAAGCTTAGGCAAAGGCATCATCCTCAGACACTGCATTCATACCTATCTCAATCTTTCTGAAGTTTCAGGACAGCTCGTAGCAGTGCATTAGTCTCTTCAAACTTGGTATGCATCCCCTTCACTTCCTCTTGGGTCTGACGCAGCAAACTTTGGTTTTCTTCAAGTGCGGCCTGTTGAGCTTGAAGCTGTGCTTGCAACTCTTCCTGCTTCCTAGCAGCTTCCTCTCTTTCTGCTTGGAGTGTTTCCTCAAACTGAGCTTGCAGGCGTGCTTGTGCGGCTGTCGATGTGGACCGGCCAGTCTTCGATGGTCAAGGGACACCAATGTTAGGAAGGAAGGTGGATGAACGACTGATCTGGCTGAGACAGTCAGCAACAATCTTGTAGGGAGACTTTTGTTCTTCTCCTTCTTCTGGCTCTTTTTCCTTCTCTGCAACCATTTGTTCCTACATAAAATGAATCCACTTAATAACAAGGCCATACAACAGTGTTGAACCAGGCATTTACCTGAGTGCAGTACATGCATGTATCCATTGATTTTGTAACTTACATATATTTCATTTGCAAGAGTACGAGCATTTTGGGGACTACTCATAAATTCCCCCAAAGAAATCAACTGCATCTGGCTCCATGTTGTTGTACTTAGTCCTCTGCAGCATGTTAAAAACTTGGGATATAAGATTATCCATAGATTATTTGTACATGCCAACAGCAAGATGCCAAAATATGTATGCACTACAGATCATACAAGCTAGTATTTGACTCAGTATTTGCCTCTAGATTTTTTATGCCAACAACAAATACAATCACTAGCAAAGTCAACTAACTACTGACAGTTCAAGAAAAACAACACAGGAACATGCATCAATGCAACCTGGACAGATCAAGAATAATAACTTGGCCTAAACAACACCTACTACTGATGGTGATCATCTCTGATGACATAGCAATACCTCTTGTAGATTTGAGTTTCAAATGGTCAACATAAAAGAATTGGAGCCTAAACACCTATTGATTATAGCTCACTCGGCACAGCGCAAATATTATGAATATGGGAGCTCATCTCAGAAATAATTGGAGCACGTGCTAACTTGACAGTTCAAAAGCACATGGTAATTACTAAGGTACAAATGTACAAAAGACATAGTATCCGTACCAGGCTGTATCGATGGGCAATATAGGACCTAGCTCCAGTCCTTTGATGAAGCTGCACTTGGGCTCGGTTTACTTTATTCTTAGCACATTTTTCCTGCACCACATGCAATACAGAGTTGTCATTCACATGCACAGTTTGCATTGCATATTAACAAAAGCAGATAATTTAGGCATGGACCTGATTCTTTGGGTCACACCAGTACTGTACCAGCTTGGTCCATTCCTCTTTCTTCATTTTAGGTGGAGGTTGCTTGGCCAGCAGCTGTTCTTCTATTAGTGACTCATCCAAGTACTTCTTTTTTAGGTGATACCTCGTCTGCCTTACTCCCCTCTTAATGATATCAGTGCATGCAGCTTTACTTGGTGCCTCATTCTTAACATCCACATCCAACCTTGACTGAAGCCACACAAATGTGCAATGCAAACTGTGCATGTGAATGACAACTCTGTATTGCATGTGGTGCAGGAAAAATGTGCTAAGAATAAAGTAAACCGAGCCCAAGTGCAGCTTCATCAAAGGACTGGAGCTAGGTCCTATGTTGCCCATCGATACAGCCTGGTACGGATACTATGTCTTTTGTACATTTGTACCTTAGTAATTACCATGTGCTTTTGAACTGTCAAGTTAGCACGTGCTCCAATTATTTCTGAGATGAGCTCCCATGTTCATAATATTTGTGCTGTGCCGAGTGAGCTATAATCAATAGGTGTTTAGGCTCCAATTCTTTTATGGTGACCATTTGAAACTCAAATCTGCAAGAGGAATTGCTATGTCATCAGAGATGATCATCATCAGTAGTAGGTGTTGTTTAGGCCAAGTTATTATTCTTGATCTGTCCAGGTTGCATTGATGCATGTTCCTGTGTTGTTTTTCTTGAACTGTCAGTAATTAGTTGACTTTGCTAGTGATTGTATTTGTTGTTGGCATAAAAAATCTAGAGGCAAATACTGAGGCAAATACTGGCTTGTATGATCTGTAGTGCATACATATTTTGGCATCTTGCTGTTGGCATGTACAAATAATCTATGGCTAATCTTATATCCCAAGTTTTTAACATGCTGCAGAGGACTAAGTACAACAACATGGAGCCAGATGCAGTTGATTTCTTTGGGGAATGTATGAGTAGTCCCCAAAATGGTCGTACTCCTCTTGCAAATGAAATATATGTAAGTTACAAAATCAATGGATACATGCATGTACTGCACTCAGGTAAATGCCTAGTTCAACACTGTTGTATGGCCTTGTTATTAAGTGGATTCATTTTATGTAGGAACAAATGGTTGCAGAGAAGGAAAAGAGCCAGAAGAAGGAGAAGAACAAAAGTCTCCCTCCAAGATTGTTGCTGACTATCTCAGCCAGATCAGCCGTTCATCCACCTTCCTTTCTAACATTGGTGTCCCTCGACCATCGAAGACTGGCCGGTCCACATTAACAGCCGCACAAGCACGCCTGCAAGCTCAGTTTGAGGAAACACTCCAAGCAGAAAGAGAGGAAGCTGCTAGGAAGCAGGAAGAGTTGCAAGCATAGCTTCAAGCTGAACAAGCCGCACTTGAAGAAAACAAAAGTTTGCTGCGTCAGACCCAAGATGAAGTGAAGGGGATGCATACCAAGTTTGAAGAGACTAATGCACTGCTACGAGCTGTCCTAAAACTTCAGAAAGATTGAGGTAGGTATGAATGCAGTGTCTGAGGATGATGCCTTTGCCTAAGCTTTTGCTACCTTGCTAGAACTTACTCTGTGGTTGGAACTTTGTCAGAACTATGTGCAATCTGTTTGTATGTTTGAACCTTTCTGGTGGAACCTCTGTATGTTTGAACCTCTTGTGGCGTAACATGCCTGATGGAACCTGGAACTATGTGGTGGAACAAGTGTGCTGGAACATGTTGAACCATTGTCTTCTAGTCTTGAATTTATGTGTTTGCATGATGGCTTGACTGAATTGTGTATGATTTATGACTTGTGATGAGAATGTTGTGGATGATGGCTTGGCTGATATATATGTGTATTATGCTTTTATGAGCTATGATGAAAGATCAGTGTGTCATCACTGAATATGGCTGCCACGCTCGTCCTGAATGAGAGGACAATTTGTGATGCCATACAATCGTCTCAAAATGTCTCTAACTACCATACAAAACAAGATAAAATCTAGGCGTCACAAAATCCACATACTTATATATAATGTTTCTGTGTCGTCAAAAAAACTTATCTGAGACTGTCCTCGCACATACCATTTATGACGTTTCGTACATTAGGTGACGTGTTGGCTGACCAATATGTGACAGTTACAGTTGTCATAAAATATAACAATATGTGACGGAAAGACACAACCATCACAAAAGGTCGTAACATTTTGTGACGGTTCTCAATATTATCGTCACAAGGTACATTATGTGACGGTCATTATATGACGATTGGCATGATGCTGCTTTTTTGTCATAAGACACTTTTTATGACCAATTTTGTACTTACCATGATAGTGTGCTTATGTCATACAAACCATTTTTTTGTAGTGGATGGTCCTTCCCTTTTGCTTGAAGTTTTCCTTGTTTGGCTAGCCTCGCATTTTGAGCTATTGATAAGCTTCTTGTCTCCTAGATTGCACCCTTTCTTTCTCATTCTTTTGTCATGCCATCTTTTTGCTCTTTGATCTTTGATATTTTATTGGACTTGTTGATTTGTTCGTCCACTTCCTATGAGTGCTTTTATTGTAGATCTTGTTTTATGGCACTCGTCTTCTTCCTCTTTATTCTATAGCTGCAATGGTGGTTGCATTCGTAGATTTATGTCAATCCATGGACATGCGTAGCTCATATTCATTCATCCAGTTCTTCATGAGCTGTGTCTTGCTTCAACTCTAATTTGAATTCTTCTCGTGACCTACCCAAATTGAATTGAGAGTTTCCTATAGGGGTCAGTCTAACAAAATATCCAGCATCTACTAAAGCATACTATCGGCTCAAAAATCAACCTAGACACCATGTCTAATTTGATTTAGGAATGCATTTTAACCTAAGCACCATGCTTAATTTAAAAGCCTTTGAAAGTCGAATTAGCACACCTTTTGGTTTAAGAAACAAACTAGACACCTCGTCTAATTTAATTCAGGAAAATACTTTAAACTAAGCACCATGCCTAATTTAAAAGGTGTATGAAAATACTTCAAAACCTAAGCATATACTATAGCAAACAAAGGTAGCATGAAAGCATTATAGAGATTTACTCAAATGGAGATGAAAGAGCATGATTGTTATTTAGCAAATTGAGCATGGCTTAAAGGTAGAGACAACCAAAATAATTTAGCAACATAGCAAGAGATGTTTTTAGGGAAGTCTATCCCCCAGCTTGAATTTTGCAGCAAAATCAAGTTTCGATGGATGTGATTCAATGTTGCATGATGATTGGTTGGACATACCTTGTGTTGTTATCCTTCGTTCTTTTTGCTTCAAACCTGCAATGGTTAGTGACAAAAATACCCGAAGGAATATTCTCACAATTATATTTCTATGCTCATTTTACAAGGGCATTATAGTAAAAGGTGAAAACTCATGTTATCTCCCTAAAGTGCTTGTTTTAGGACAAAAAGCTCATCCATGGGAAACCTTCGAATTGCGCTTCAAGTTAGTGAAGTGGTTTCTCCTCCAACACCGATCTTCATGTACCTATCTCAAGATTTATGCCAACACACAATGAGATCTATAATATTTATGATAAATAAACGCGTCTACAACCACCCTTTCAAAAAAATTAAATAGGAAGTATGAGGGGGTTAAAGATCTTGTGTGTGGCAATGTTAGAGAGACCAATTGATTCAGGAGTTTTCTCACGTGAGTATGGATTTGATGAAGTGTTCATGAATTGGCTTCCATGCTCGTTGATGTCATCTACCTTTTCAAGCTCCAAGGTTGATTCTTCATGAAAGTCCAAAATTTCACTCGTATTGGTGACTCTCGGGTTGATCTTGTCTAAGGACTTCTCCAAACTTGGATGAATCATGTTTATTAAGGAGATTGACTTGAGCTCACCGTTCGGATCTAAAATGGGGTTAGGTTCTACCATAAAGGTTTCAGCCTTGTCCATCCATTCTTTACTAGCAATGGCATATGAGTCCTTAATATCCTCTAGCCAATGTCGTTGCCCTTCTAGATCATCCTTGTTGTCTTGATGACTCCTATTCTTTGGGTGTCTTAGTGGATTTCTAGGGTCATCATGAGACTTAGGAGAAAGAGCATAAGAGGGGTCAATGAAGTCAAGGATGGGTTTGAATGAGACATTTGATGTGGGCACAGAAGGGGAGAAGATAGGAGTGACTTCTACATGGCCTGGCTCTCCTTCTATGGCATCACTTGCCATTCCATCCTTGGTTTTTTCTAGATGTTCCCCATATAAATTTGATTTAGGATGCTTTCTAAGAGATCCCTTCTTGAGAGGATTTGAATTATATTCACTTGAAGGTCTCTTATGTAGCAGAAAGTTTAAATTTTTTCCAAAATCAGTATAAAAAGATCATCCTTAATTTCAATAGGAATTTCCAAAGGTACAATTTCTTCTTCCCTTAGAGGATTTTGGGGTATTGATGGTTTGGGATTGATAGCTAAACCTTGGGATTGGAATGGTTGTGGTTTGGCTATCAAAACTTCCTCTTCTTGATCGGGAGATAATTCCTTCTCTTCTTCGGGGAGTTCATCATGAATGCTAGTGTAGGGAATGTATCCAATAATTTTGTCAAGGATAGTCCTTTCCTTACTAGCAGACAAATAAAGGAAAGCTCCTCTAGAGGTCATATCAAGGAAATTCAAGGAATCCTTGTTAAGATCCATGTAAAAATGTTAAAGAAGTACAGGCTCTTGAATGGCAAGGTCAGGGCCAGTGGTGATGAGGTCATTAAAATGAGCCCATGATGTGCCAAGAGATTCTTGTTCTTTTTGTTTAAAAGATAGAACCTCAAATCAAAGGCAGACAACTCTAGAGATGGAAAAGAAAGCTAAACAAAATTTAGAGCACAGTGTTTCCCAATCTCCTTGCATACTTCCTACGGTTTGTCTATACCATCATTTAGCTCTTCCCATCAAAGAGGATAGAATCAACATCCATCTTAAGGTTTCGTCTGACATGCCAACGATATGTAAGCATGCACAGGTCTACTCAAACTCTCGTAGGTGTGAGTATGGGTTTTTATTGCCTTCTCCCGAGAAGGATTGTTCTTGAATCATTTTTATAAAACACGGGCATAGCTCATAGCCAGGTGTTAGGATAGGCTTTGTAGATTTTGGTGGCTCTAGGCGTGCGCTCGTGGGTTTAGCATATTGATATATAGGTGTGTTATCCATGCTAAAAGAAAAAATAAAACAAAGTTAAGCTAGGTTTGTAGTTAATTCAGCAACCATTTCCCCGGCAACGGTGCCAGAAAGCTTGTTGGTATTTATTAACACACATAGATAAATCCACAAGTGCACGAATACCACTGTAGCTTTCACCCGAAAGTATTCCAAGTATCATATCCATAGGAAAATGTGTGAGATTAACTACAGTCTTACTTAACTAGGAGTAGCAACAAAGCTAACGATAAATAGGAGCATAGAGAGGATTACTAAGGTTCTCTAGTTCTGACTTGGGTAAGCTATGTCTTCTACTGTTCAACTGGGGACATTACTAAAGAAAGACACCAACAAATGATGCTTTTTGTCATAACTAGGTCCTACTTGGCCTATAGACAGGAGGTGGACTACAGAGGAGTCAACGAGGGTGTCACACTTGCGATCTAAAGCTACACTCGCGATCTACCACCGGTCCGGAATGCAGGGTGCATCCACGATTAACCCAAGTCTAAGCACCACACTTACACCTACGATTAATACTTTAACCTAGAGCGTCTATAGATTAAAGCACTCAAAAGAGAGTCATGAACCTGATGAACAATATAAAGAAAATACTTACTTGAATCAGAAGTTGATTACTAGAGAATTCTCAAAAGCAAGCTCAAGTAGAAGTTGGATCCGCCAAGGTACAAGCCGCAGAGAGAGCACCGATAGGCCAGCACTTCCTTTAGGATGGCTTCAGGGAGGGTGGTCGGAGCTGCTATATATAGGGAGAGACGTCAATTCTAGACCCTCGGATCAAACCGACTTAAAACAATGGCGTAGATGTGATCTTCAAGGCGGTGGAGAATCGACATACGAAGCAGGGCCTGACTGGTGGGCCCCCTAGGCCAGCCGACCTACAAGTGGGGTCGGCCGGCCCCACATGTCATGCCCTTGTGCTCTTCTTTCGTGGTTTGTCCTCTGGAGTCTTCTAGAGTCTTTCCAAGTCAGTTTCGTCGTGGATAAACATGATTTACTTTGACGGATAGGTCCACCTTGATGGTTTTTTTTATTAAACCCTGCTGAAAACATAGATTCACCAAAAGTCATAAAATTTATTAGTTTAAACCCCTAGACCTATGTTTAGTGATGAAATTAAGTATATATGCAGCTTATATTGATGGTTTATAATTGATGTTAATGACCGTCAACAACTGGATACAAGGA